GGGCAAGATGGTGGATCAATCCTCTTCTATGCCGGTCCTCGTCTAATCCACCATTTCGACTAGCTCATCAACGTCGACATATCCACCGGCACAATGTACAAGCACGGGCCACTCCTCGCCCTCTGCCTCGAATATGTCGGCAAACGTGACCCCAACGCCTTGTCGCCCAAGCGTGGTTTCCCCGATCGCGAGCGCCTCCGTCTCCAGCGCTTCATATCCGGCATCAGGGTTTTGACGAACCATGCCGGACCTGGTGGCGAAGTGCAGCAAACTCCCCGCGTCATCAAGAAGCTCAGCACTGCCGGTGCCAGCTCTCTCACCTTCCAGATGCGCGAAGGGCAGACCATGACCGTGTCCGATTATTTCCAGAACACCCAAAATAAGCCTCTTCAGTTCCCGGACGTCATCTGCTGTGAGGTCCGTTTTCTCTTTTTTGATCTACATTTACTCCCCTTCCGGATCCTTACCATTCTTCCTAGGTCGGATCTGGTGCTCTCATCCCCTTGGGTACTGTTTTTTATTCAGCCGCCTCAATATGTCACTGATCTCATCGTCCGTGCTCAGAGCTGTGCACCGTTCCTCCTGGGCAGGTAAGCTTCGCCGTATTTCATCGGGATAAGAGATGCTAACATCCGGCCCAAGTTGATGAGGAAACAAGTGGTGAGCTTGAACATCACTGCTCTGTACCGCACCCCAACTCAACCCATTTTTCAGCCGCCTGAAAAAACCAAGGACGTGCTCGACTTTGCGACCAAAAAGCCGATGGATCGTTTGCAGAGCATCAAGAACGGTCTTAATGTAATTGATTGGCCCTTCCCCTCCCTGCGGATCTAACTTTCTCCTGATAGGTGCTCGCGTACGGCCAGTCCGAATACGTTCGCCAATTCGGAATGATCGTCGACCACTCCGCTGGCCCGCTCAAGGTCCAGGCTCGCGTCTTGAAGCCTCCAATGCTCAAGGTATTTATACCTAAGTACTACGTACATGGACGGGTATCTAATTGTTAAATAGTACGGAGCCGGTTCGCGTCAGCCGACGATTGTAAGCCTCTCGTCATTTATTTCTTCATCTACTTATTCTTTCACAGACACCTCGCGATGGCATGCAGCTTTATTGTTCTGCGTTTTGTGACACTAATATACATGTTCCCCATCTCAGGTGCTTGGAATATGTGAGTTTTCTTCTTCCTCTTCCCGTCGTCTATCGACTTACACCTTGCTAGGGTCGACAAGCGCTTCTTCAAGCCGGTGGAGATAGCTAGGTGGGTTGTCGTAATCTACGAGCAGCAGGTCAGCACAAATGCCCTTGTCCCTCCTTCCCATCTAATATTCAACAGCGCCGATTCGACGAAGGGTCGGCTCGCGACATGATTAACGGATTGGTCCAGAGCGCAAAAGATGTCGGTTCGTGGCTCGACCTTTCTGCCTGATCTCATGCTTACCGCCGGACAGGTATCCGGATGGCGCCTACGGAATTCATTTTTTGGGAGAATGGCCAGGGAAGAATCGCAGACCAGCTCAAGGCTGCTGGTGCAGCATGCGCGGCCAAGATGAAGGCCGGCCCCAATCTAATGGTTGTCATCCTTCCCGAGGGCGGAAACGACATCTATACGTCCGTTAAGCAGTATGTCCATCTCCACCCTTGTGTATCGGACGTTTCTGAATAGCGTCCCTTCCCAGCTTCGGAGATGTCACTGTCCGTATCACTTCAGTTCTGTGCCTTTTTCGACCTTAACGCCGTTTCGTATAGATGGGCGTCGCCACTCAGTGCCTGAAGAGCTCGAAGTGCTTTAGGGCCAAGCCCCAGTACTATGCGAACGTCTGCCTCAAGTGAGTCTTTTATTCCGCGATCCCATCCGTTTTCGACCTCATCTTTCCCCACCCAGGATCAACGTCAAACTAGGAGGCATCAACGTTATCCCCGACCCCTCCTCCGTCTCCGTCTTGACCGACCCTCATAATCCCACCATTGTTATGGGTACGTCTATTTCTTCTGCCGATTTGACCGCGTACTTACTCTTTCTTTAGGCGGTTCGTCAAACATTTTCTTGCATCTTACTGAACTGACCAATTGCTTCCATATTCGCTCCATTCAGCCGATGTTCGTCAAATCAACACTATATTTCACATCCTACTAACCCAATTGTCCCAGGTTATTCACCCCGCTCCCGGCTCCGATGGTCGCCCTTCGTTCACTGCCCTCGTCGCCAACGTCGACTCGGACACCGCCAAATACATCGCGGCCTCGAGAGTGCAAACGTCGAGAGTCGAGATGATAGAAGAATTGCAGTCTATGAGCAAGGTGCGTGAACTGTAAATCAGTCAACTTGGCTGTACCCATCTCACCCCCGAATTTTAGCACGTCCTGAGCATGTACATGCGGTACCGCGAAATGGCCGAAAAGAAGGCGGCTGGCAACTCTGCTCCCAAGCGTATTATCTTTTACCGCGGTCCGTTATCTGGTCTTAGCTGCACGAGCTGCTATTCAGGCCTTTTCATCAGATGGCGTGTCGGAGGGCCAGTTTAAACAGGTGCTTGAGCAAGGTAATTTCATCTTCATGTGTCCGCCATGCAACTTTGCTGACCATTTTTGCAGAATTGCCGTTGATCAAAAGTCGCAATCTCGCCGTTTTATCCATAATCTGTTCTAATTTTGTTACAAACAGAGGCTTGCCAGGAGCTCGGTATCGACCCGAAGGTCACCATTCTCGTCGTGGGCAAGGTTAGTCGTGAACTGTCCACTTCGGCGCATCCATTGACCAACAAACCTTAGCGTCATCATGTCAGGTCTGCCCGTTCTGGTTCTGCATTTTCCTCGCATTTTCATTCCTCTTTCCAGGTTCTTCCCTCAGAGCGAGAGAGATGCAGACCGCTCCGGCAACTGCAGGGCAGGGACAGTCGTCGATCGCGAAGTTGCTCATCCGACCGAGTTCGACTTTTATCTGCAGAGCCACGGAGGTCTCCTGGGTACAAGTCGCCCGGCGCACTACTCGGTACGCACCTGGTTGCCTGCCGTCCCCAACTTGAGCTCATACATTCTCTTTAGGTTCTTTACGATGTGGGTGTCCCCTTTTCTGTCACCTTGCCGCCAACTCTCAATATTATCTTTCAGGAAAACAATTTCTCCGCTGATGCCTTGCAATCGCTCTCCTTTGCCCTGTGCCACGTCTACGCACGTTCTACGCGTTCCGTGTCTATCCCTGCGCCCGTCTACTGTATGTCGGGCTATTTCCGCATGTTGAATGAGATATTAATCGATTTTGCAGATGCAGACATTGTCTGCTCGCGGGCCAAGAACCACTATGATCCGCAAGGCACGGTCGACTTCAGCGACTCGGCTACGAATGTGGACTCTCAACAGGCTGACACGTCGCTCGAGGCCTTCAGGCGTGGATTCAAGCCTCTCCACCAGTCGCAATCCACTTTGATGTATTTCTCTGTTCGTGTTGCTTGTTATACGCTCTTCTCCCGTTTACTGACACACTCTGCAGTGATTTAAGCCGCCTCGTTGAACCTAGTATTTGGTCAGTTATTTTGCCAGTCATCCACCGACTTTCACCGCTGACTTATTTACAGCTAAATGCAAAATTGTAGGCCGTTTGGACTTCTGAGAGCCGTGGAGCCGGGACGATCCGGCTGCACGTGCAGCCTGCAAACGTCATCAAATCATATTTACCTGCAATCTCTCCGCTCTCTCTTCCTGTCAATACAACCATGCCTTTTCGATACATCCACCCGTAGCAAAAGACGTCGCTGCCCACTATCAAGAGGGCCGTTCCCAACGACATTGCTGCTATAACCCGTGTAGGTCGTCGATGAAAGAATGAGAGTTGTTGGTGTTTGATCTTATGTCGTCACTTCACATGACGCCATGGCTCCACCGCCCATGGTCTAGTATTTTGCATTTAGCTGTAATTTAGTAAACCGCAGCAGTTGCTGGCGCTATTTATTTTTGTACTCATCTGTTACTCCATGTAATGAACAAATCGAATTTTGTGCACTTGTGATCAAAAGCGTGTGATAATAACGTTACTTTGACGTCCTTCCATTCCTTCTGAGTTCCTTTTCTGGACTCCATCGAAGATGACGTCAAGCGGCTCCTTCACTCAACCACCTCGAAATGATCCAACTTCCTGACTTTTTCCTGGTTTCTGCCAGGATTCCTTTACTGGCCATCGGCCTCCCTCTTGGTCTAGGTCTTCTCAGCCGCGGCGGCTCTCCGACAGCCAAAGTTGTCAGAAGCGATTGGTACAAGGCAGGTTCTCGAGAATAGTCCATCTTGACCTTGACAAAGTTTGCGCCTAGAATTTGCGCACCCCTCCTGGCCGCCCACCGCGTCAAGTTTTCCCAATTGTATGGCCTCTTCTCTATCTGTGTACGTGTACCTCCAGTTATGTATTTCCCGAACAAGTCCCAGTAACGCCACAGTCAGCCATGGGATATGCTTCCCATCTCACAGTAAAGGCTCTTGATAACGCTATTTCGCCGCAAGTCCGGTAGATATCCGTTCCTCAATAAAAAATACATATGATTGAAACCAACATTGCCGCAAGATCCGACTGCACGCTTGCTCTCTCCCTCTACTACGCTCAGCTTGCCTTGAACATCGCATGGTCGCCGCTCTTCTTTGGTGCTAAAAGAGTCTCTTTTCTACGTCTCAAATCCACAAGTATTTCTCTGAATCCTGCCACCATAGACTGGTATAGCGTTGGTCGATAGTACACTGATGGCGGCAACGAACTTTTACATGACCGTAATTATGCTGTTTCCCGTTTCTTTCTGTGCTCAACGGCATCTTCAGAAACTGCTCGCAAACGCATGTCCTCAAGCGAGCTACTTGCTCTTGCCTTATTGTGCTTGGCTATCGTTTGCGACATATTTGAACTTGGGAATCTGGTGGCTTAATCGCCCACGGGCACGGTTGTAACTAGAGAACTGCGACTGCAATATGAACCTACGAGTTGTTAAGACTTGAAGAAGAATCAAAACAAAAAAAAAAAAAAAAGAGGTCGTGCCCGGAATCGAACCGGGGTCGCCAGAAGGCCGGGATTCTCAGAATCTGGAGTGATAACCGCTACATCTCCTCCCTTATTGTGCTTGGCTATCATTTGCGACATATTTGAACTTGGGAATCTGGTGGCTTAATCCACCACGGGCACGGTTGTAACTAGGAGATAAATTAGAACCGCGACTGCAATATGAACCAGTTGTTAAGAAGAATCAAAACAAAAAAAAGAAAAAGCAGGTCGTGCCCGGAATCGAACCGGGGTCGCCAGAAGGCCGGCATTCTCAGAATCTGGAGTGATAACCGCTACACTACACAACCTTCTGCATACAGGGGACGAGACTGTGTATAGAAGAGTGAAAAAAGCTAAGGATTTGAATCATGAATGAGCGAGTTGATGGGAATTGATGGGATCGATCTATTTCCGCTTGCGTCCCTCTGTCCGAAGCTTGGGCAGGATGCGCTCGCAGTACCACCGGGAGCGGTTGTATTCGGGCGGAAGGTCTAGGACCGTCTTGATGCGATGCAAAACCTGGGTCTTACAATCGCGAGGTCCACCCCTTTCACGCGAAACTTGGAAGGCGGAGTTGCCGGTCATAAGACGACGCGAGTCCTGGATTCGCTGCGTATGTTCACACATATGGTCCCATACGGATTTGAGAACGCCGCAATATCCGTGGTCGCATCGCATGAAGTTGCCTTTAAAGATAAAGTCAGATAAAAAAAACCACCCCAACCGAGACGACTTACGGTCTCCCTCTGTCCAACTGCGTAGCTTCCCTGCATGGGACCACGCCAACGCTCGCTCCTCCGCTGTCACGGGCCACAGATTCGCAGGACAACAAGATATCAACGGAAGGCACACGTCGATGGCGAGAGTGACAAGAAGCGTGTTGTCGGAAACTTCCTTCTCCAGCACATACACAAATCTCCCCAGCTCCGGGCGAGACATGTCGAGTCCAGGGAGCTCCTTGGCAACAAGGGCCGCGTTCTCGTCGCGTGCGAGAATGTCTCGGACGAGGAAGGGAACAAGACCGAAACTGTCAGCGCCAACACCAAGTATATCGACCAAAGCTGCGTTGTGGAACAAGTCGTGTAGATAGATGAGAGGACGGGAATTGGGAAACTCGGAATCTATGACATGAGTTCGTGTCTCGGTAATGGGGCATTCGTGCCAGAAATTGCGCCCGAAGACGACCAGAACCTCGCCGCAGTGTTCGCAGGTCCCATAACGGAGACAACCCGATTTGCGACTGCCAGTCTTTGGATCTACATCCGACGGCCGAGTCGCCCAATCGGCCAGCTCGGCCACCGCGTTCGTGAGTACCGCATGGGGTGTCTTGGCGGCTTGCTTGATCGCGGTTGTTGCGTGCCCGCCTGCGGAGAGCGCGGCTTTGTCGTTGCTCAGGCGGCTGTGCGACGCGATCGCTTTGGCGTGGGCTTCGGCTGAGTTTCCATAGTGCTTTGCGGAGGCAGCAATCCGGCAACCCCTCTTCAGCAGCATAAACCATTTATCCCGCATTTCGTCACTGTAAGGTGCAGAACGATACTGGAAGGGCACCAGAGAGTACGTGTCGGCATCCCCGCCACCCCGCTGGTGCAGAGCGTGAAGACGAGCAAGCTCGTTGTATTGGGCCAACCGTTCAGGGCTTTCGGGGTCACCGACTGCGTTGGTGATTCCGGGAATGGTAAAGTCGGGGTTTTGAACCCTTGGTACGCTTGTGGGAGGGGTGACGGCGTCGGCGGCGGAGGGGCTGGGCATACTATCCTTCCGCCGAAGGAATCCGTGAACTCGGCAGAGCAACGCATATTGTTCTTTGAGGTCGTCGAGAACGGCCCTGAGCCCTGCCCAGACAGCCTTCTGCTCCACCCTGTCGACGAGCTTCTGGAAATACCGCCAGTTGTTCTCGGCGTTTTCCCTGTCTGGATTGAGGTTCTCCCGTCGCATGAGCTCGACTTCACGTAGAGTTGTGTTGAAGAGGATTTCCACAGCAAGCAAGAGCTGGTGGATAATGTACGCCTTGAAGGCGTCATATTTGATTACTCCCGCATGTGGGCTAGGGATTTCGACGTGTATTTGCGTAGGCTCAGGCCCGTGTTGGATAATGCGAATGCTGGGGGCAAAATGATCGTTCTGTCGGGTAGGATACCAGGTACGTTGTGCCGGAGGCAAATACTTTTCGATATCTGGTGGTGTCGTGCCGGACATGATTAGCTTTCGGACACTTTCGGGAATCCCTTTCCAGACGAGGTGAAAGTGCCCAGAAGCCGACCCAGTGAAAAGCGGTGACGACCACGGCACCGCCACAATGACGTTCAGGAGGCAATACAACCTACTCCTCCAGAGGCAGTGCAGCCACCAAAGCCAATGCCATAGGATGAATAACCAGAAATCGAAGACAGGACCGATGCAGGAGGCAATCACCTCTACTGACAGATCGGCTTCCTCGGGGACACCGGAGTTCACCACTGATATCACATTTCTGTAATATTTCAAGCTGCGCGCTGCCGCCACATCCCACATGCCATCAACGGGACGAACCCCATCCGTCGAACAAAAGTGTTCTTCGGTAATGGCTTTAAACATCCGTACTGCTGGCGTCCCGTGTCCATTCGTTCGAATGACAGAGGCGGAATTTTGGAGAATGGACTGGTATGCGGGATGAGAGATCGTAGTGCCTGTGACGTGGTTGAGTATGTAGGATTTTTCATCGTCTAAGGCAGCCTCGACAGCATCACTCAAAATGGGATCCTCAAATTCTCCGAACGGATGGAGCTCCGGTGCCGGTGGAAGGAGGGTGGCTAGTATGTTCGCTGCCCATGCTGGTTGGGCGAAATTGGGAATATAACCGCCCGTCGCATGGTTCAAAGCGCTCCCACGTAAGAGCTGAATCAAGAGCACTTCTATCTTGCTCGCGTTAACGTCGGAGCGGAAACCGGAAGACGCGGGGCGGTCAAGCGAGGGGATATGGTACGCGGCGAAGATGACATCTGCGTTTATTTTCGCAAAGTTTGTAAATCGCGTGTAGGCGGCTTCGGCCAGGTCGTCAGCTAGCCGCTTGCCGGGTGTGACGGTTTCCGAAACACCAAAATAAAGAAAGAGGGAGGAGGAAGAGTATCGTGCAAATGGAAGCTTTGACAGCCGGTCCAAAAGATAGGTCATCGCGGTAGAGTATCCCAAGTCAACGCCGATTGTGACGAGAATGGCGGAGACTTGAGCAGGGGTTAGCCCGCACAGAAGCAGTCGATATGTACACCATCCCATATCCGAGGGGTAACTCCGCGCATAGTCTTCGACACATTCTGCAGGCTGGCAGGCTGCAGCAGTCTTCTTGGACGTGCTTTTGACGCGCCCGACCCGCACATAGGCGAGGGGATACGTGACGACGCGTTCATCATCCGCAGGGCTGAGGACGACGGTTTTGCAAGAAATAGCGGCAGCGATGGCCGTGTCGCACTTGTCGCGGGCGCAGTTCGCGAGCAGCGCACGCTCATCCGACAAGCTCTGGAGGAGGGGGTCGTCGCGGCTCAGAGCCACCACATGGTCAGATTCGGCTGCGAGGCGTTGAACCTCGTATATGATGTCGATATCCGCGGTGGATTTGGTGGCAGCTTTTGTGGAGGCGGTGTGGAGGCGGATGTAGGTGTCAAAGTCGTTGAGCCAGACTTTACCAATGTCGGGTTGCAGCGCCTCCTTGCGGTCGAGCTTTTGGGACTGCCGAGCCGCCACGGCAGCGGGGGCATTGCGGGCCTCGCGCCTCTTGGTAGCCTGGTTTGGATTAGAATATTGCATAGAAGGGTTAAAAGCGAAAGGGTACCTTCTCGACCTTGGACTTTGCCTGCGGCTGAGCCTTGGCCCTCGAAGAAGCTGCCTGCGGAAAGGTAAGAATAAATCAGGAGAGTGCATGTATGCGCGCTCGTACTTGTGTCGGCGGGCGAGAGCTACTAGCCTAGGGAAGTATCGATGAGCTTGCATAATGTTTCAATCATAAATGAACGTACGATGGGAAGCGGTGGGGCCGCCCACTACCCGTGTCAAATGTTAAATAGGGAAGGAGAGATGGATAAATGATTCGCACCTCAACTTCATCTTCCTCGTCGGTGATGACAATCTGGAGAGGTTGGTTTGGTCAAGAGGAAGCGACGCGGAGTTTTCCACAAGCTACTCACAGGTTCATTAGTTTTGCCAGCAGGATTGCCGGAAAGAGCGGCAGGCGGCCGACTGCGTAGGCCATTTTCTTTGCCAGAACGGGAGGTGGGAGTCTGGTGAGCAAACAACATTAGGTTCATCGTAGAAACATGAATATATGCGCGCCTGTTTGTGACCGCCCTTAGAGATCGCGGGACGCTGGTAATATCCAAGTCAGGGCAGAGCTAAAACAGCAACAGCATCACGTACTGCAGGCTCGGCGTTCACCTGCACGAGCGAGGGTTAGCAGTGAGGGAGGGATATGCTCCGTTCAAAGCACTTGCCTGACGCTGCTTGCCCTTGCCCTCGTTCGGAGCGTCCATCTCCACGTCGTCGTCTTCCTGTTGGCGCGCGTTAGAAGTGTCGGTGGCCACCGCTCAATCGTACACTCACGACACGCTCATCGTCTCCCGCGCAGACCTGGAACGCAGGTAGGTATCTACACGGCGCCAGATAAATAAATACTCACCTCATCAATCCGCGCGCTTTTACTGCTCGGTGGCTGAGAAGAATGAGCGACCGAAAATGTGCAAGGGCAATTATACTCACTGGCTCTATCGTGGAGACCGCGCTTGCCTAAATGGGAGTTGGTATGGCAAGGTAGGAGGGTTCTGAACGACTTACGGTGCGCTTAAACAGTCTTTTCATTATCGTCAGCTGGGAAGAGCCAGGATATGAAAGGTAGAGGAACAGGACGAGCAATTCCGAGTCCCGATCCGTTACGCGTGAATCCCGATCCGTTGCGCGTGAATTCCGTCCATAGAATATTTATTAATTGATTTCCCGCCAGACCGGCGCGAGACCCGACGCGTCGTCCACATTTGGGTGCTAAAAGTACGTAGGCCCATCAGACTTCTATTCAGCTGCGACAGCCTCCCAGCTCATTATTTGTCCA